TGAGCCTAATTAAGGGTGCCAACATACTTAAGTACTGAAGTCACGCAATAATGTTTTCTTGGAAAGCAGCAAGGATAGATTTGCTGAGCTCTTCACTTCGGCTCCACCTTTTTCAGTGGAGGCAGAAGCATCATGGAGAAAATAGCACTGCAACCTTCATAAGCAGAAGGCAGTTTGCCTAATTATTCCCCTTCCCTTTGCAGCCCCTTCCCCCCCCCCCGGTGCTCTCTGGGAATGAGCAGCAGCTGGGAGACCTGGGAATGCGCGCTATAAGAACAGGCCTTCCCTCCAGCCTTTGCCTTAGCAAGGCCCCTTGGGCTTGCCCTGGAGCTTCTGGTTTCTTGATGGTTTCCTTGATTCCAGCTGCCTCAGTCCCAACTTCTGGACCCTGCCCTCCTGCCTCTGGGACCCTGCCTGCTGGGACCCTGCCTGCTCCTGTCTCGGCTCCGTCTTGCTTCCTGCCTTCGTCTATCACACCTTGCTGCTCCTGGACCCTCCCTCGTTCTCCTGCACTCGGGTGCCAGTGTCTCACTCTGTGGTCTCCCAGGTTCCTGACCATGTCCTTGCCTGTCAGATCATACCTTGCTCCACAAGCTGCCTCTGGTTTGGCTTCTTGGGATTGATACTGGACGGGTGATTGGACTCTGGACTTCTCATGCCTTGCTTGGGTCCTGGTGCCCCAACTCCAGCTGCCATGCCCTGGACCATGATACTCCCACCATCACCCCATATTTTGTAGGAAAGAACCTTGCACTACATACACACATGCAATGGTTTTTTTCAACCCCCCTTTTCGCTGTGAATGTGCACACACGTTCACCGCAATGGACGGCCACCCACCTCCAATGGCATTTTTAATTCAGAACCTGATCTTAGGCTGAGTGAGGCCGCTGAGCCATCCAATCTTGACTCATTTGACTGGGAGCAGCTATCCCATTCCTACTGCCAGAGGTTCTTTCAATGGAGATGTCATGGGCTGAACTGGCCTGCTACCCAGAGGCTGAAGGTAAAGATTTTATTTATTTATTTATATTTAAAACTTTTCTATACTGTCCCATACTTAGACCTCCCAGGATGGTTGACGGCCAATTAATCCTAAAAATAGACATGAGAATAACAGTTGCCCAGCATCCAATGTTAAAATATAATCCCACTAAATAAAACAAGTTAACAATTAAAAATTATAAAATGGTTACTAAAATTGTTTTAAAATAGTAAAAGTCTCTGGATGGCTTACAAAAGCCCCTGTAAGGTTGCTATTTTGCAGTCTTTGATTAATGTACATGTGCATATTGTAACACAGGATCTTCCCGGAGTTACACCAAAGCATGGTTTAGTAATATTTGAATTGGCAAGGCTTTGGTTTCACATGTCTCCCCGCTAAACACATGAACTCAGTTCCTTCAGCTCATCCACAAAACAGGAGGAACAAAACAACAACCCTGTTAACTAATGGCCATTTATATCCAAAGAGGGGAAAAACTGTAGTTAGTTGAAACTTTGATTTGTTTAAACAAGCCATGGTTTATCCAGCCATCAGATTCCTCACACATCCCTACTGTCCACTAATTTTGACATGCCATTTAAAGTTTGGTTTCTCAAAAATCACCCTTCCCGCTTTGATGCACCTTCTGTTGCCACTTTTTCCCCTTTTAACTGAGCTTTTCACTTGACTAGGCACTTGGGACCCCAGGAAGCAGAGAAAAATTTGCCTTGTCAGCTTTGAGAGCTGAAACCTGTGTGGAAATGGACCTGGCCAGATGACATATTTCAGAGAGCTGTAAGTGCGCACGTAAAAACAAGCAAGCAAAGTCTGAATCTTCACCACCACCAAATTAATCAAGCAAAGGCTAAGCAAAGAAAAATAAAAATTACAGCTCTGATTGCACTCTTCTGAGGCTCCAAATAAATCTATGACATTGCACCATTTTAATGGCAGTGAGTGAAAGGGAGTGACAAGGGAGTAGGAAGTGAGGTGGAGATCAGTTTTGCTAGAAAGGGCAATGAGATCCCTGCTGGAATAGAATAGAGGACTGAGCAGAAGATGGATCTTTCCTCTGACACATTCAACTTCCACTTGGACCTTTGTGTGTTGACCAGAAAGGTGTGCAAAAAGCTCCCATGGACATATAATGTGCTTACAGCAATTTGACCATCTCCGTTCTGCATCATGGAGTTTCCATCAGTTCATCAAGGCATTGAAGGAGAACCTCACAGGCCTTTATGCTCAGCACACCAAGCTCTAGATGGTAGCCCAGTTTCCAGACAAGCCCCCTCTCAGTGCTTGCCATATGACTAAACAGGATGGACTTTAGTTAAGAAGGGATTAAGGTTAAGGGTAATGCAGCAGAGAATGAACATATGTGATGACATAGGAGCAGAATTTATGTATCCCAACCCTATCTCTTTCTTGCAACTGTGGATTATTCAGTGTGAAGCACGTATACAACACATAAGTTTAACCAGTGAGCTATGAATCCCACACCCTCAAATTATTGGTGCATCTATTGAATGGAGGTCATATCTATTTTATCAAAAGCAGTGTGAACCCCTACGAATTCTTCCTTGTTGTACTTGATTCTCCATGTAAATTCTTTGCAATCCATTACTCAAGCTTCCCAGAGGTAGCAAATAGTACATATTATTTCTCAGTCTTTTAAATTCCACTTTGTCTTAAAACGAAAGGATCAAACCCACATTTCAAGGATAACAACATGACATACTTAGAAAACATACTTCCAGGAATTTTAGAAATGCAAATTCCGAATTGTACTTTAATTTTTTGCATCGCCATTACATTTTACTCCAGTTCTCTCTTTTAAAAATATCCTGCAGGCTTTACTGTTTGAATTTTACACTTATTTTATACTGTAGTTTATGTTTTAAATCACTTAACATTGCTGCAAACTGCCCCGAGAGCTTCAGCTATTCAGCGGTAGAAAAAAGCAATAAATAAAAAAACCTGAGAAGGCATGCTTAAACCGTTGTGCTAATTTTACTGGGGCTTTCGGAATGGCGAAACATTATTTCAAGCTAATAAGCTATCTTGTAGTAGTGAAGTTCCCCCGATGTGTCATTTTAATTGCAGATTAGTCTTGGTCCTGTACGACCGCAGATAGATTCGTGAGACAGACGACATACATCGTTAAATGTGTGGTGGAGGGGAACTATATCCAATAGTTGCTTTGTCTGAGCAAGCTCCTGCAGCTGCTATGAAATTGTTGTCAAATGGGAAACAATGCCAAGCAACACTGGAGCTGAGATTACATTTTTTTGTCCACCACCACCCCTCTCTCCCCTCCCCTCTTCAGGCACTGTAAATAATATTGTGATTTCAGGTACATGCTAGAATATTGTGGGCGCATTCAGGACTGGGGGATGAAGATACTGCTGCAAGCAGGACCAGCAGGGTCATTCCGGTGTGGGTACCCATGCCCCAGCCTTTTGAATTAGCTGGGCTTTTAAAAGCAACGCTTCCCTGCTCCTGTTTCAGCAGGCCGCTGACATGATTCGAGTGTCTATTGCGAAACCTGTGCAGACTTCGGCAGAACCAGAGTACACGTACCCCAAACAAATGCAATCTTCTCTCTTTGCCTTCTGCCTTTACTCCCTTTCCCCTCTCCTACCGCTCTTCTTGTGGTGTGAAATCTTAGTCTGCAAGTACCTGGGGAAAGGGAACTATTCTCCTTAAAGCTCCATTCCCACTGATTATGTAACAGCGTGCATAGATAGGTGGACCGATAATGCCTTGGATTCAGGAATGTGGATCAGAAGTCTTACAAGTGCTCTTTTGTAAGACCTCGATTGGGTTCACATGGCACAACATGCAACCCTCATGTGTACCGTACAGATGGGCTGGGATCTGGCAAAAACAACTCAGTCATGCTGGGAACCCGTGTGGTAAGTTCTACCATGGTGTCAGAACCCTGTCAGGGACTTTCGCTTTCTGTGTAACCATGGAGAGTAACACCAGTTTGTTCTATGGTTTCCATGCTTCACCTATGATCCTACGAAGGTGCAGAAACAAGACAGGATACGCTACAGGAAGGAGCTACCTTCATGCATGATCATAGACTCATAGACTAGAAGAGTTGGAAGGGGCCATGAAGGCCATCAAGTCCAGCCCCCTGCTGTAGCAGGACACCACGCTACACCATCCCACTCAGATGGTGTCCAGTTTCTTTCTTAATGCCTCCAGTGTGGGAGAGCCCACCACCTCTCCAGGCAGCTGGTCCCACTGCCGCATCGCTCTGACCATGAGGAAGCTTGTGTTGATTGTGTTGGCAAACATGGTGGGAGGACTGGATGAGCTTGGCTGTGCCAATGGAGTGGGAAGGAGGTAGGGGAGAGGGGATTTGTCAGGATCAAAATGTAATAGAAACATAGAAACAGAGTGAGTCAGAAGGGACCTCCAGGGCCATCTAGTCTGACCCCCGGCTCAAAAGTAAGACTTTTCAAAAACTGTTGGTAGGATAGGTACTGTGAGGAGTTATTGGGAGCTAATGAACTATGGGGCTACTTGGTTTAAATTGCACTGGTATTTTTGTACTTTGGTCTCTTGCCTTTGGCCTTTTGCATGGACCTCCCCTGCAATGCAGCACCTGAGAGCGTCTTCAAAATGGGATGCGGCCCTCAGAGTGAGTGAGGTTGAACACCCCTGCTTTAATGTGACTGCTGTTGATTTACAGGAAGGAGAGGAGTCTGCTGGTGGCAGCTTCTATAGTCACTGAGCCCTGGAAACATGGAGCAGATGATGCAAGCAAGCAATATGGCTTTGGGAGGACTAGTATGGGTGCAGGATCCAAGGCAAGCTAAGAAATTGCCCTCTCGATTAATAACCTGTTGAGAAAGGAGGGGAGAAGCAAACTGCCTCTCACCCAAAAAGCTCTTCATTTTTAGAAGCAGTCCACACTTCTAGCAAGCATTGTGCTCCCTGCACTAAATCCAGAACATTTCAGGATCCAGCCCAGGTGCGTGTGAGCAGCAACCATTTTGCTTACCTGCCTAAACTCCTGGAGATCAATTTTGTTCCCCACCAACACCAAGGGTATGTTGTAGGTATGCCGGACGCGATAAATGAGCTCCTTGAATTCCGAAGCTTCTTGAAAGGACTGCCGGTCCGTGATGGAATAGCAAATGATGAAGCCCTCTCCACCTCGCATATATTGGTCTCTCATGGCTGTGAATTCTGCCTGCAGAGTAACATTGGGATGCTATATAATTTAGTAAGCAAAATAAACGGCCTATAAAGAGCAGAGTTGCTGAGACAGTGTTTCTAAGGTCAGTTCTTTTTCTTCCTCTGTCTTTCCCTGCCCCTGCTTGCTTTTCTCAAAGACCAGTTCCTTTTACAGTTTCCTTTTACAGTTTCCTTTTACCAGTTCCTTGCTTTTCTCAAAGACCAGTTCCTTTTACTAATACAAGAAGCCAAAACCCATTTCTTTCTCTTACTCACAAAGCATACCCAGGAGATCTGCAACCAACCTTTCCCTTGAATTTGTCTTGTTCATTGTGTTTCTTACAATAATTAATGCAGGATTGTTAATTAAAATAAAGATATTACCATTTTGCTATTCCGTTCTTATCTTTAGGGATGTATAAAAAGGTTGTGTCTGGTCACAAGGCATGCATATTTATCCCTTTCACAGTCCTGAGCACAAAGGTAAGGAGGTCAGACTGCTTATTTAGTTTGATGTTGGGGAGGAAAGTTGTGTATTTCCAACCTATTTGGTTTTGAAAGGTTTGCTTTTTCACACTTTGGTCAATGGGGAAAGGCACAGATATTTGAGAAATGTGCACCTTCCCCTTTGAAACAGATGAAACACAGTTGGAGAACAAAAATAAAGGTGAGTCAAACATAAAGATTTGAATGGAGTTTCAGAATGCAGGCAAACTCAAGAAGTGTTGCCTCCCCAGTTCCTGTTTAACTTCTCTTTTACTGGTTTTATATGGTTTTCCCTGTTGCAATTTATGGCTATGAAAGCTGGACCATAAGGAAGGCTGAGCGCAGAAGGATTGAGGCCTTTGAATTGTGGTGCTGGAGGAGACTCCTGTGAGTCCCTTGGACTGCAAGGTGATCAAACCGGTCAGTCCTAGAGGAGATCAACCCTGACTGCTCTTTGGAAGGCCAGATCCTGAAGATGAAACTCAAATACTAATGAGAAGGAGCAACTCACTGGAGAAGACCGTGAAACTGGAATGATTGTTGGCAAAAGGTGAAGGGGGCATCAGAGGATGAGGTGGCTGGATGGAGTCAATGGAGCATTGGGTGTGGGCTTGGGTGAACTCCAAGGGATGGTGGAGGACAGGAGAACCTGGAGGAATGTTGTCCATGGGGTTGTGATGGGTCAGGCACAACTTTGGGACTGAACAAAAACATTTTCTTGATGTTCCTCTCCAGAGCAGATTTTGAGAAGGCAAACCAAAGTGCCACAGATAAACCTAGAGATCCCTTGAAAACATATTCTGCGGTGGCACCCAACCTATGGAATTCACTCCCCAAAGAGGTCTGCCTGGCACCGTCGTTACTGGTGTTTCGGCGCCAGGTAAAGACCTTTTTATTTAAACATCATTAGAATTGTTAAAACATATGATCTGGCCAGGCCAACTTCTTCTCCCTTCTATTTCTCCTCCTATATTTTTATTTACTTAAGTTATACTGATAATTTTAATCTTATATTTGTAAACCAATGTATTTTTTGTATTTTGTATTTAATGGTAATTTATTATGTGCTATTGTATTTCATTGTATTTTATCGTGTTGTAAGCCGCCCCGAGGTTTCGGCAAGGGGCGGCATAGAAATGTTATAATAATAATAATAATAATAATAATAATAATAATAATAATAAATGAAAGTTTCTCACCCTGAATCAGGCCTTTGGTTCACTTAGTCCAGTTTTTGCCTACTGTAGTTAGATCTCTAGAGCTGAGGAGACCCAAAATTTTTACTCCTATTCATGAAAGGGGATACGTGAAATGAAAAGGTCTCAGCCTTAGAAAGGCAAGATAAATTTCTGGAAAAAAAATTGGCTATGTTGGGGAAATCCATGGGCACATATTTTTAAACACCATCTGCAATGGCAGGAGGTGACATTTCAGCATGAAAATGAGAGGAAGGAAAACTTAAATCTCTGCTCCAAAACTGCCATGGTTCTGAACTGCATTGGCTCTGTAAGCAGAGGATTCAGTTTGGCCATCCAAGACAGCACTTCTGGATCATCACTAGTTCCTCATCTTGACCTGAGGAGGAGGCTGCACTGGAGCGTGTCTCCTGGCTCTGAGGAACCAGCAAGATTTGTAAAAAGCAAGAAACCAAAGGAAACCCAGAGCCACCCCATCCTAAACGTAAAGTGAAATTGCTCCACTTTCCATCTCTTCCATCACTCTGCCAGTAGACATATGACAGGCAGAGCATGGGCCAAGGTCCCTTCTTGAACCACCCGTAAGCCCACTACTGTAACTGATCCAATCATGACTGGAAGCCCTGATGAGATGCAGGCTTACAGCCAATCCATGGTTAGCATCCCAAGCAGGTTGGCTCTTTCCATGGCAATCTAGTAAGCCCCTACAAGAAGGCCTGCAGCAGATGCCTTCCTCACAGTCAGGTCCATGTCCCCACTGCTAGCTTCCTTGTGGCGCTTCGGTCTGCAATTCTGAATATGCAAGGGGCTGAGGCATGCACGCTTTGATTGCTCTGCCATCCATCCGCCCACACAGCCGGGGAGGTGAAAGCAGCACCAACAGCACGGCTGAACCACGGAGAATTCTCATCTTTATTTCTAACTGGGAGGGCAGAACAACGTTGTGCCTGGTGCTAATGCATTTGTCACAGCCAAGGATCCTGCTTCTCGTGGCCTCGCTCTGGTGCTGCTGGTGGACCAAGAAGGCTGGTTCACCTGGAGAACTTGGAGCGAGTCATGCCAGTGGATCCTGGCCGAGCAGGAGTCAGGCTTCCCAGAGAGACAGGAAGCAGGGCTTTGGGAGATGCCGGAGATGGAAGCCAGAAAAGCTCGCCTGCATGCTGTTCCAGTGAGCACCAGGCTGTGAGTGAGCCTTCCATGAGCTTTTGGCTGGCTAGCCCTGCATCCTTGCTCCCTTAAACAGACCTGGCCTGTTTCAGTGCCCTCAAGCAGTGATGGCACAGAAGTGGCTGTGGCAAGGTGGAATCTTCAGGGCCGGAGCCCTGCGGCTTTGAAGATGGTCCTGCAAGCTCTTCCTGACACAGAGGAGCTTGCACCCAAAGCCTTCCTTGTCTGCAAGCTCCTTCATCACCTCCTTGTATAGCCAAGCCATACCTCTGGTCTAGGAGCCTCATCCTTGAAGGACCAGGGGAGCGGGGGCAAGAGTTTGCATTTGTAAGAGGGAATAAGAAAGTGCCAGGTGGTGCTCAATCCTTTCTCTGCATGGGAAGCCACCACTGCAATCACCCCCTCCCCCTTACAGATGGTTCAGTCCAGCCAGATCAGAAATGAGCCTGGCCTCAGAGGTGGGAAGCTCGGGAGAGGACTGCAGTGGGAATCTTTGGCTCAGGAATGGTTAGAGACCCTGCTCCCATTCCCCAATCCAGTCCTTCCGACCTGAGCCTCATTGCTCGATGGAAGTCATGTGTTTGCAGTTGCTGCATGCCATGTGTCCTCAGCATGAAAATGGGGAGGGTTCCCCACTGCATTCTTTTACAGATAGTGCAGGAATGTGGAAAACTGTGCATGGGACACATTCCAGAGCTTTACACCATTTCAGTCCTTGTATTCTGAGCACTGCCTTCTTGAAGCACTGAGACTGCTTTGCTAGAAATCAGCTTCTATTTTTTTTTCTTACCAACAAAGGACAGCAAGCAATGCTCTTTTGCTAATTAATTGAAATGCAGCATTCATGGCAGGAAATGATCGGAGAAGACATTAGCATTCAGGATGCAAGGAACACGAGTAACATTGTTATCTCATGTACATATGAACTACAGGAAACATAACATCAAAATTTTAAATGGGACATGGCAGGATGTGGAAGAGCTCAGACAGAAGGAAGGAACACACTGGGGCTCAATTCGGAACAGAATCCATAAAATAGGATCGAGGCGGAAGGGAAGGCCAAAGCGGGTGGCTGGGTCTGGCCAAATGCTGAGCTTGTAAGACCACTCTGTGCTCCGGAGTCTGGAATCCATACCAGAGATCAGAAAATAGACTAGAGATCAGAAAAATCCACTAATGTTAAGTGGAGAAAATCCTTTCAAAAGGCAGAAGTACCTGAGGCTTCACAAATATATGTATAGAGTTTATACATTTAGTTTCAGTGGAGGATGCAACTATAATTTTATAAATAAATAAATACAGTATGCTTCATAGAATCGCCTCCATGAAGTGGTTGGCAATGTGCTTCTCAAGAATGCCAAAAAGGTTGCCCAGATTGCCAAAATGCCAACATTAATTCAAAGAGGATCTCCTTGTTTCCCTGTTTTATGAGTGAAAGGAAGGGGAAACCGCAACCTCTTTTTTATATGTTGATTAAAAACGGTGAGCCATGGGGAAGGGTGGTGTGGGAACAGCTGCTGCGGTGCGTTTGCAGACTTGGGCATATGCGTTAGCAGATAAGAAAGGGAGCTGGCTACCTCTCGGCTAGATTTAGGAATGCTTTAATCTGTCTATTTTGGCTCTTTTCCAGTTCTCCTTTTTTCCTGAACTTAAATTCAATTGGGCCCAATTCCACTTCGATGTACATATTTTATTTGTAAAAGCCCACATGGAAATTCATGTGCATTTTCATGTGCTTTTTTCCTGAATGTGTGCATTCGTTGCAAGTGATGCTCCCTATCATAATGTATGATATCATGATGTATCCCTATTCATTCCTTTGCTATTTTTTTTCTATGCCACCATTCATTTAAAATCTCATGATGATTTACATTTTTTTTAAAAGGCAATTAATTCAACAATTTAAAACTCCTTAGTGCCAGTACGTGATGCTAAAACAATTAAAATGCCCTTTAACAATTTAAAAAACTGGGTAAATAAAAAGCTTTTGGCCTGGTGCTGGAACTAAGTGTTGGTACCAGGCATACCTTTCTAAAGATCAAGCTCCATAATCAGGGCACTATAGCAGGAAAAATGTGCTTTTGAGCATTAGTTTCACCATACTGTACATTTTCTATGCACTATTCTGAAGAATATACATGTTTGTGAGCACTTTCTCAAATGGGCA